ACAATAGGGTTTTCTGTAAGAGCCGAAAGGGCTCTCATTTCTGTCGCTGTCTGGACTCCAGTGGCTTATTTAAAGGACATCTGAATCTGTGGGGCAGACACATGGCCCCGCCCGAGTTTCACGTCCTACTGGTCCAGGTGAAGGTGGAGTGTGAAGACAGTCCCTGAAGCTCGGGACCTTGAGAGCTTTGCTCCCCTGGGTGGAGAAGCATCCAGCAGGAAGGGCAGGGATGCGCGTCCAGGGAAGAGTCCCTCATAGGACACAGCGGTGTGCAGAGTTGTTTCTGCCAAGAACACCGACAGACTGTCCTCCAGCCCTGTGGGTTGTGAGGGGCAGAGAGCAGTGCCAGCGAGTGAGGCTGATATGGGATTGGTCGGCTCAAATAGAGGAAGAGCCACAGACCTCTGGCATTAGGCGCTGCTGCACAGAGGTTTCCATGGAAGGCTGGGCCTGGTCTTCCCCTCTGTTAACTCACAGCCCCTGAGCTGTGTCACTGCCAGACCAGGGGGGCTGGGTGGCAGCAGGCAGTGTGACTTTCTCTAGCTCCACACATGCCGGTGCTGGTTTCCAGGCAGAGGTGGAGAGGTGCTGGGCAGTGCTCGGCCAGGCCACTGACCAGTAAGGAACGTGGGCAAGGCAGGTGGCTCGACCCAGTGGGCTGAGAGTGCAGGAGGCTGGGGGAGGCACAGGTGCCCGCTAGGGCAGGCCACGGGGCACCCACTCTTCCAGACACCTGGGCACCCCTGGAAGATGGTGAGGGACCCCGTCCCCACTATGTTTGTGCTTCTTCTGATCTAGGCCCCAGCTTGGTCCCAGCAGTGCGAGGGAGCCAGGACTCTCATTTCCTTTAAGTGATTTTTCTCTGGTTCCACAGAGAAGGCTTTTGTGATTATGAAATACACCAGACGCAACCCTGCCGTCCTGCCCTCGAGTCTCCTCGCTCAAAGCCCGCAAGGTGGCTTCCATCTGCGTACCGAAGCAAGTGGGGTCTGGCTTTTGCTGTGGAGGCTGACAGGCCCCACAGCAGCTGCTTGACGGCAGTGGAGCCGACGAACCCCATCCCGGTTACTCTTGGCAGATGGGGTTCTGTAAAGCTCCCCTTGTCCCGGAGATCTTGGAGGGCGATGGCCATATGGTTCTGTTTTGTACTGGAAGTCGAATGGGGTTCTCTCTGTCTCAGGTCACTGATCATCTTTAGAAATTCAACTCTGTGTGGCTCAGGGTTAAGAAGCAATGCCCAGTGAGCTCCGAGAAGAATTTCAGGTTGCAGGGGTGAAGGCAGGTACTACCCTACCTCGGCTTCTTCAGCAGAGTCTTCCATGCGCGTGGCATGCAGAGGATTTGAGAAATAAAGAGCACGTGGATCGAGTGGGGGAGTTTTGAAAACAGCAGAGTTAATCGATTATCTTCGAGGTGAAGAGTTCACCAAATTTATTAGAAAAACCACTTGTTTCATTTTTCGTCACACAAAGGGAAAGCACAGGTACAGGGTCAAATACAAAGGAAGTGGAGTCTGCAGCGGTAAACCCCTAGTGACTGTGGGAGGGTTCCAGGAGCAAAAGTGAGGTGGCTGGTGGGTGTCTGTAGGTCGCTCCTGGCCTTGGGGACTTTGGGGGACTCCCGTGTCCTGCGGTTGGCAGTTCTTTCCCAGTCGTGGCTGCTGGTCTTTCTCGCTGAGCACTCCAAGCTGGTGTCTGCTCTGAGAGAGGCCTGGCCCAGTGCCCAGGTCCTCCTGCCAGTGTCCCGGCCACTCTCATGTGGTGACTTTCCCGTCCCTGCCTCCTGGTTGGTTTCTTCTGCATGTCTGCTTCTCGGAATGTGCATTACGAGGGCAGGGATCAGCCTGCTTTTCCTTGTCCCAGTGCAATGTGGTGCACATAGGTGCCCAGGCCGCAGCGGAAGGACTTGAGGTGCCAGTGCCCATGCTGGGCCTCTGCCGAAGGGAGGGTTCAGACACAGGCGGTGTCTGTGCTGTGTGCATCTGTGGCGTTCTCATTTGCTGCCTCCTGTTCCTGTGTCTGGACAGAGGCTTTTATACAACTGTAGGGACTTGGGGAAGTGAACACACCGTAAAGTTAAGGATTCAAAACCAGGGTTCAAAATTCTTAGGGATATTATTTTATGCTTTATTTTACTTATTTTTTTGTCACTGTTAGAAATTGAACTCAGGGCCTTGTACACACAGGACTAGTATTCTACCACTGAGCTACCTCCAGTCCTATTTTGGGCTCTTAGGAAACTGTAACTCATAAATAGAAGATGTTATCCATTCACTGCATATTAGCTAAGTGCCCACGGGGGCAGGTCGAGGCCATGGGACTCTCTAGCAGGTGGCCAATGACACCTTGCCACTCTGTCCCCAGTGAACAGCTTGGCTCAAGGTGCAAGGTAAGTGATGCTGGGCCAGCTGGGACAGCAGAAGGACAGGATGTGACTCCGGGCGAGCTGCTTATTGTCTCTGAGCCTCTGTGCCTCTTCTACAAAATGGGGTAAGTACACCTCTGCCCCGAGTGAGGAGAATGGAAGGCACTGGAGCACCCAGCAGCAGCTGGTGGTTTCTGTAGCAGGAGACATGTAAAATACATTCTTCTATTGCAGGCACAATGTAGATTTGAGAGAAGTAAAACATGAAAGAACCTCGGTAATTGACACATTTAAATGGTACCAAGGATTCAGTGGCATGAAGGCTGTTTCCAATTTTAGGGCTGTGTCAGTTACTTTTCCCTCATTGCTGAGACAAAATACCCAACACCCAAAGTTAGAAGGGGAGCATTTATTTGGCTCACAGTTCGTAAAGGTTCAGTCCATACTTGGCCCACGCTGAGGCAGGGAGGGTGAACAGCATTGCAGAGAAGCAACATGGCACGCACGAGGCAGCAAAGGCAGCAGTGGGCCTTCACCAAGTCCTTCTGCCCCTTTTATCCCATCCAGACGACGGGGGGCGGGGGTGTGTGTGTTAGGGCGGGGCCAAACCGCTCACTCAGCTGTAGGGGTTTAGTAATCACACGCCCTTAATTTTGGTATCACACATTCCAGATTCAACCACCTCTGAAAAAGAGCCCCACCTCCTCCTCATGTGGCTCTGCGGGGTGGGGTGGCGGGGCATCGGAACACGAACCGTAACAGTCAATCAGGGGCTGCCCTGGGAGCTTGGAGTGGTTTTGATCCCACCCTCTCCTAATTACATGCCGAGAATGGGGTGTGGCGGGAGGGAAAATGGGCTGGGGAGGAAAATGAGGGCGGTCCTGCACACCAGTGAATGGTTCAGGGCTTGGGAAGCTCAGCATCAGTGACTCCACGTGGCTCCTGAGGCAGGGGCAGGATCTCCCAAGAGCTCAGCCAGGAGCCAGGCAGAAACGAGCAGGTGGTGAGAGTGCTTGCCATTGGCTGCGTTGGCTTGGCCAGGCTCTTGATGTCTGGAGCCCCAGGAGTCTGGCTGCGAGACCGGCAGTCTGGAAGACGTCAGCTCTGGAATGTGTTTTACATCGTCCATCCATCCCTGGGTGCCATCTGCACTGGTTGAGAATACTTTCTAGAAACCTTTACGTAGTGACTGGGACATGGGTGTAGGGTGCCCTGTGCTCTTGCTCCCCAGCTCCTGAACGGCTTCCCTGCACCATAGCTGGTTTTCTCCTAGCTCTCATCACTCTCAAGTCCAGAACTGCGTTTATTTAGGCCTTGTGTTTACTCTCTGTCCTTCCCTGTAAAGAGTAGTGGGCACCAGTGTTGTTCTACAGAGCTTAATGTGTACCCCGTCAGAATGGGACTTATTCCTGCACCCCACGATGACAGAGTAGTTACCACAGCTCAAGCTGCTGTGACTTTTGTCAGTTAATTGACTCCGGTGGTCGGAAAGCTTGGCCTTTCAGTGGCTGCTGTGACAAAGCACCGTTAAACTGGGTGGCTTGGACAGCAGAAGTGCAGCTCTCACGGCTCCAGAGCCTGGATGTCAGAGCCACGGTGTGGGTAGGACCCTGAGCCTAAGATGGCCCTGGAGGAGGGTCCTTCCTGCCTCCCGTTCCCAGTGTCCCCATGGCCAGGGCAGCATCCCTCCGGTTTCCACCTCCCCTTCATGTGGCTTTGTCCCCTGCTCCCTCATGGGACACCAGTCATGAGGACCAAGTGCTCCATTATGGCCTCACCTTAGCTAATGGCGTCTGCATCGGCGCTGCTTCCAAAAAGGTCACCTTGGGAGGTTCCAGGAAGGACACGGGGGTGCTGCTCCATCCCGCCAGTGCTGTCTGTGCGGCAGTTCCCCGCCCTTGGCTTTGGGTAAAGTTGAGGGAATGGCCTGAGGCCAAAGCTTCCTCCGTACACTTTTGCCATGGTTCCCAGCTGTCCCATGGCCCAGTGTGCTCAGGCTGTGTCGCCTACCTGATTTGCTGCCCCAGGGAAGGCTGGACAGGACCAGGCTGCGTGAGTGGGGAGGGGAGGTCCCCTGGTCAGGGTGGGGCTGTGCCTTTGCACATCTACACATGCGGGGTTCCTGCCGTGTGTGAGGACAGATCTGCATCCGGAAAGAGAGAGAAACCAAGGTCTTCAAGTGGGCATGAGGTGACCGGGTGCCCAGGCAGACCCTGTTGGGTGTTGGTCGAGTCAAAGCTGGAAAACAGACAATCGTCCAGTGGCTGGGGGCCGAGAGAGCAATGGCCACTTGTGGTGTGAATGTGTATGTGGCCAGAGAGGAGGGTGGATGAGTGGGAACGGCCTGGGGAAAGGAAGCAGGGGACCCCGGTAGAGCAGCTGGATAGGGGTCCCATGTGTTCCCTTAGGGCGGGGTGGACTGTGCCTGGCTGAATTGCTGTGGCAGATGTCAGGGTGACTGTAGATCCTTGGACCCAGACCTCCGTCTCGTCTGTTCTCCAGGGAGTAAGGCGAGGCCCAGGATCTGGACCCTGCACTGCTCTATGTCCCCAGTGTGTCAGCTCGGCTGACCTGGCCTAAGGTCCAGAGCATGGAGAGGTTTCCCTGGCTAGAGCCCCTGCTCCCCTCTCTTCCAGATGGACGAGATCAAAGGCAAAGACCGGGTGATCTTGGCCCTGGAGAAGGAGCTGGGCGTGCAGGCCGGGCAGACCCAGCGGCTGCTTCTGCAGAAAGAGGCTTTGGACGAACAGCTGGTCCAGGTCAAGGAGGCCGAGAGGCACCACAGCAGCCCAAAGAGGGAGCTGCCGCCAGGCATCGGGGACATGGCGGAGCTCATGGGCGCTCAGGTGAGGGCGGCACCTGCGCATTCCTCCCTCTGACCATCCTGGTCAGCCTGCCTGCCTTCCTCGGCCTGTCTATATGTCCTTTCCTCCCTCCTGTGTCCCTTCCTGGATGTGCGGATGTCCACTGGCAGCCCGGCCCGGCCTGGGGACTGAGACCTTGAGGTGAAGACGGTCTGCCTCTGCCTGCCGTGCCAGGAGCTCACTGTAAGACCTAGGGACCTCACAGCAGGGCGCACGGCGCGGCCCAGAAGGGGACCCAAGCAGGCAGGGAGTGACAGAGGAGAGCCCTGCGAGAGAAGAGGAGTGCAGTCAGCAGCCAGCAGCACCAGGGCTCGGCCTTCGCAGAGGCAGAGGGGCCACAGTGTTCACTCATTCACTAAGGGGCGTCCTGTTGAGTGCTCCGCGCTGGGCCCATGAGATACACAGGTGGGCCAGGGCTGGGTCACGACTCCCTGCAGGCCAGGTGTGGGAGCCACCGAAGGGTCTGAAGCCTTAGACGTGAGGCCTCCACACGTGTGTGGCAGGGTGTGGGCGCTGTCACCTCTCCAGGTGGCGGGCGATCGTAACAAGGATCTCACTCACCCGCTGTGTCGTCACGGGAGTTTACTGAGGCGCCGTAGGCTGCTGTGCCGTCCGCTTCTTCAGAGTACATCTGTGTCTCTATTCTTCCCTAGGATCAGCATACGGATGAGCGAGATGCGAGGCGATTTCAGCTAAAGATTGCTGAGCTGAATTCAGTGATCCGGAAGCTGGAAGACAGAAATACCCTGTTGGCAGATGAGAGGAACGAGCTGGTAATCAGCTGGCGACAGGGTGTGGTGTGGGGCCGGGAAGGGGTTGGGCCCGGCCGTGATGTTCACGCAGAGGCCTCCTGGGTTTCTTTCCTTTCTTTCTCATTTCTTTTCTATTAAAATCAGACATGCACTTACTGCCTGCTGCGGGCATTTATCCTCAGCAGTTAGAGAAGCTCACTGGGAAGTGTTTGGTGCCCGGTAAATGAAGTGATGAAAGCAGTTTATAACCAAAGACAAATCGCCATCATCCGGGGAAGTGAAATGGTTCTTTTGGGAGGTGTGGTGAGGATGGATAATTTCGTTTTTCCTTACCTCTGCTTTCTTTCGCATAAAAGGTCATGTACTTTTAATTTAAAGTAACACACATGGACTTCTGGTTAAAAATAAATCTCCTGTGGGCCAGGGATTTAGCTCAGTGGCGCCACACCTGCCTCATAAATGCAAGGTCTTGAGCTCGATCTCTGGTACTGAAAAAAAAAATGTATAAAAATAGCAATGTCACCAATATGTTTAAATTCACAGGATAAATGGCTAGTCTCATTTTTGGGTAACAGTAGTCAAAATGTAAACTATTTGACAAGCGCCTCATAGCGTTTGCCTTTATTCTGATTTTTATTGTAGGGAAGCGTACCTACAGAATATTTTTAAGACATAGAAGATGAAAAGTATTGAAAAGTAGCCCTTTACAATTTTAACAGTGTCAAAATAAACTGGCTTACTTCTAGTATTTTTAAAGGCATATTTTATACAGCTTTAATCAGACTGCAGTACGTCTAATATGCTTCCACTTTTCACAAAAATATTCTTGGGCCAGAAAAACACTCATGAGCCCAGTCGTTTACTGGGTAGATTAGGAAACTCGCAGATTGCTGGAAATAACCACACCGAGGTGTTCGGAGAGTGCGATGGATCTGCCGGCGTTTGAGCTTCTAATCGTGAGCTATAGTGTGTGACTCCTGTGAGAGTGGGGTGCACCCTCCCGGAGGCCGTTGGCGTGGCTTTTTGGTGATATGCTGGGCGTTTCTGCCCTGGGTGCTGTGCCGCTTGCTGTCCTCACCTATTGCGTCTGTTAGCCGTCCTGGGTGGCCTGTGCTCGATCCTGTGGATACAGCGTCCCTGCCCAGTTCCCCGGATGAGGGAGCTGCACCGGTTTCTGTGCTGTTAGAAATGCCCGGGTAGGCACCTGTCTCTTTACCGACTGGAAGCTCTTTTTCTACAAGGTAGATTTCTAGAAGTAGAATCGGTCCCACGGTACCTCTGCATCTCAGCAGGTGTGGCCAGTGTTTAACATACGCAGTCGGTGACTGCGCCGGCTCTGAACACTGTCCTCTGTCTGATTCTCGGTTCTGTCACCCAGTCTGTGCTCGGGTTCTTGTCCCTAGCGTGGAAATGTCTCCGGCTTGCTTGGGATTTTAGCTGCACGTAGGATGGAGGTTAAATGTGGGCTGGTTCTTGAGCCTGCTTTTGACTGTCACCGTTGTCCCCCCTCTGTCTCAGGGCCCTCTCGAGGGGAGAGTCCCCGTGACCACTTCCAAGATGTGAGCTATAAGCTGGGGATTCTTGTTCAGTTATTTGTTTTGGTTTTTTAAAATTACATCTGATATCCATGCAGCCATCATTTCTTCATCATAAACTGGAGCTCCGAAAGCTCTAGCCTGTTCAGTTCTTACAGAAATCCCAGACTGGCAAAGTGTAGGCCGTAACAGCCCGGGGCCCTCAGCTCCGTCAGCGGCTGCAACGCTTCCGGACCCCGAGATGGCAGCTCCCACTCCTCCCCATTGCTCTTCCGTCATTCCCTGCTGCTGTGTCACCAGCACGGGATGATTCTCTGCATCAGTGCCGCCAGTGTACACAGACTCTGGTGTAAGCGGTACTCTGATAGCAGTCATGATGTGCCGGAACACGGCATCGGGAGGATTGCTTATTAGGACTCCTGCTGCCGTAAAAGAACCAACACACGCGGGCCAAACCGCTAAGGGTGTGAGGAGGTTGTTTACGAAGGAAAAGGGTAGTCTTGCGCTTGTGCAGTGTCAGACTTCCTGATAGGTCACAGGTAGGGGAGGGGCCTTCGAGGACCTGATTGAGGAGGCTGCAGAGGGCAGAGTTGTTTAGAGGGGCTTCAGGATAGGGTCATTTGAGTTAGGTCTGCGCGCAGAGCTGGCTGCAGCCGGAGCAAAAAGCTCCCAGAGTGGCCAAAGGCCCCTGATGCAGTCTGGCTGGTGCAAGCCTTTTCAGACATCTGGGACAGTGGGACCCTTCTCTCCTGTCTCTGAGGGTTCAGCAAGAAGGGGCCAGGGCTGTATCAGTCAGCGTTGAGTACTTGGTACTGGGGCTGTGCTTGTGGTTGTCATGATGTCGATGGAAGTTATTTTCTAGTTTTTATCCACTAAAACAACCCCTGGAGACAGCCACTGTGCGTTTAATTCCCAGTGCAGCATGGGGCAGGTGTTCTCATGGTTTGCATTCTGCAAGGAGGAAACTGAGGTGAAGAACTTGACTGTGATCATGCAGCGAAAAAATGAGGGTGTCACTGGGGACACTGCTCAGGAGGAGGAGTGGGCTCTTTGGGTCGTACAGCACCTCCTGAGTTCTCCTTTCCCCCACCTCCATGGCTTCTTGTGGTCTCTGCTCCTCAGTCTGGCCTCCACATTGTAGTTGGAGCCATGGATGGTTCTAGAAGGCTGGCTGACCACAGAATCCTCCTGCTTCTAAGTCCCCAGGGGCAGGGGGTGGTGACCAGATGGCCAAGACGGGTGCATGGGGACTGTTCCTGGTGGCACCCAGTGTATCGCAGAGCCTGCGTGCCCAGTTCTGAGCCTGGCCAGCTGGGCCCATGGTGTGTGTCTGTTTGGAACATCACTGAGCCGCGACCTCCTTTGTAGAGGGGAAATTGGCAGGGTGGGTGGGAGGAGCCAGGTGGCTGTGTGTGACCCCTGACCTCTGAGTCGTGCTCGGGCAGGTTTCATGGTGGAAGGCTGGACACAGCACAGCCCCTCGCCAGAGGACAGCCCCAGCCCCTGTGGCACCCCATCCCTCGCTGGGATGGCAGAGCCCAGCAGCCCCAGGACCCTTGAAGCCGCCTGACCCGTGTCTGTTGCTGCTGTAGCTGAAGCGAGTGCGGGAGACTGAGGTGCAGCTGAAGCCGCTGGTGGAGAAGAACAAGCGCATGAACAAGAAGAACGAGGACCTGCTGCAGAGCATCCAGCGGATGGAGGAGAAGCTCAAGAACCTCACTCGGGAGAATGTGGAGATGGTGAGGCTGCCCTTTCCTCCCTCGCTGTGTCCAGCTCCCGTGCTCCCCGAGCCTCAGTTTCCCCCTGAAGCCCACATGGCAGTGCCCTCCCAGGAGGAGGAGCAGCAGCGAAGGCCCTTGGGAAAAGAGCCCCTTGTAAGGCCCAGGAAACACCCACTCCTGCTCTGGGAGCCGAGCGGAGGGAGCCTCCCCAGGGGGCGCCTGGTCTCTGCGGCCAGGACGGGGGTTGGAAGGTGCTCCCGGGTTCGTTTACACAGCGGCGTCCTCTGTCCATTTCACAGCCCAGAGGATGGAGGCTCGTGAGGTGAGCCCCTGTCCCTGTGCTGTGGCAGATCCAGGCATGAATGTGCGACCACTGTTGTGGGGACCTCTTGTGTCCTCTTCCTGCCACCTTTCAGAGCTCGGGTCAGAGCGTCTTCCGCCCCCCTCACAGCAGGAGCCTGTCACCCACCTCGCAGGCTTGGGTTTGGCTGCTGTGCACCCAGTGTCCTGCCCCGGTGCCCCCAGGCCCATGTGGTGTGCCCCTGACCCCCTTTAACGCATGGTCTCTCCTCTGGCTGTAGAAAGAGAAGCTCTCGGCCCAGGCCTCGCTGAAGCGCCACACGTCCCTAACCGACCTCAGCCTGACAAGGGATGAGCAGGAGATTGAGTTCCTGAGACTCCAGGTGCTGGAGCAGCAGCACGTCATCGACGACCTCTCGTTGGTAGGTCCGGCTTTGCACGGGTGGCAGCAAGTGACATGCAGCGCCAGGAATGGGCATCGGGGGAGCCAGGGCTGGGGTGAGGCAGGCAGCATTGGGAGCCCAGCCTCATCGAGATGTGCGCTCTCTCAATTTATTCTGCCAGACAGCAGCCCTGGCTTCTTTAAATCCCATCACTGCTACCCTGGAATGGTTTCCATGGTGACTCTTGCTTTCTGCGGGCCTCTGGGTTGCCATGCCTACCAAGCACTGTTGGTTTGGTGCTGGAGTCTCTGGCTTGTGAGGAGTGGGCCTGACTTGTCCCTGAGAAGCCTTTGAAGTCGTCTTTATTTAGTTCAGCAGCTGGAAACAGTGAGCCTGAGCCTGCACACCCGAACCTTGAGATAGGTCCAAATTGGAGGGCTCGCTGAGGCTGTGCGTGTCGTGTGAACTCTGGGGTGCAGTGGGCTTGCTTAGGCGGGTGGAGTGTTCTCTGCAGAGTTCTGCACGGCACGGCCTGGGGCCGCCTGCGGGAGCTGTGGCTGGGTCTTAGAAGCACAGCGTGTTCTGCCCACCGCAGCGGCTTGGGTCCCTCCCTCCGTGTTCACGGGGCTGTGAGCAGTAAGAGCTGGCGGCCGGCATCCCGGGAGGGCTCTGACTGTAACGGGTGGGCTCACTCGCCTGCCTGCTCTTGGCCTCTTCCGCCCTTTCTCCCCCGCTTTCCTTCCATCCTCCCTTTGCCCTCCCTCCCCTCGCTCCTCTTTTCCTACCCCATTCCTTTCTCCTCCTTCTTTCTTCTTTCCCTGCTTCCCTTCTTCCCTCTCTCTGTGCATCTTCCCTCTCCTCCGTGCTTTTCCTCCTTGCCTCTCTCCTCCTCTTCTTCCCTTCCTTTTCCTTGTCTCCTTCTGCCCCCCTTCCTTCCTCCTATCCATTGTCCATCCATGTTTGTTTCATTACAAACTCAGGAGGAAAACGCACACCCAATAAAGTGATGGTAAAGTCAAGTGAGGAATAATAAACCAAAACCGAGACTGAGGAAAATGAAGACAACCGGGTCAGGACCAGGAAGCCTGGAGCTCTGTGCTCTCCGTGAGCTGCTGCAGGAGGCGTTGGAAACAGGGAGCGCGCCCCAGGTTTCCTGCAGGGCATGATATGCCTGCTCCTCCTCCTGCTCCTGCTCAGGGGGCCCTTCCTACCCATGGTGACCGCCAGGAACTGGCCGCCCATGGCCTCTAGTTCCTCTCTCAGGGCAGTGCTGCAGGCGGGCTCTGACCCACCCAGTGGCAGAGAAGACTAAGTGTGGAGAACAAGCCCATCCCCTGGCTGGGAGGGGGCTCTGGGGGTTTGACCCCAGCTCTGGCCACTCGCGGAGCCACAGGTGTCCGCATTCCACTGCTGGTGTGGGCAGAGTCTGCCAAGGCCATGGCGCCAGTGTGCAGTCCCCACTGCGTGGTGACCCTGGAGAGGACAGGTGTGGTGTGACTGCTGGGCCCCGGCAGAGCTGGGCCTGTTTCCAGAGCAGGACCTGTGTGCATGGCCCTGTGTGCGTGGCTCAGTCGTTCTGCACAGTCACCTAAGTGCTCGGGGCCACCCAGACTGTGCTGTGGATACGGGGAGCCGTGGAGGTGCCGTGGGCTTCAGGAGCCCGCTGCTTGCTGTCTGGGATAGGAGCCAGCTGTGTTGCCTTGCAGGAGAGAGAACGGCTGTTGCGCTCCAAGAGGCATCGAGGGAAAAGCCTGAAGCCACCCAAGGTGAGCTCCCTGTGACCCTGCCCCTTCCTGGGACCGGCCCTCGGGGAGGGGCTTCCTCTGTAGACGGCTGTGTAAGGCGACCCACATCCAGTAATTTATTCATGGGGAACTTAGCGATGGCTTCTGTGCTGAGGCCTCTGGGTACAGTCATCCAAGGTGACCTTTGGGGATCTAAAGGACATGCATGCAGGCTCCTTACACCCTCCGGACTCCCTGTCCTGGGGACTCGAGCTTGGTGGTTTTCTCACGCAGATCTGCGCTCTGCTGTCTGACAGCGATGGTGTCTGCATGTTATGGTGGGGAGAGCTGCGGGCTGGGCTTGTGAAACCCGGATGCCCACCGGGCCAAACCTTGGGGCTAAAAAGACAGGAGTGACTTCAGAAGAAGGGTGTGGTGCCCACAGAGGTGTGGGCTCCTCTCCCTTCGTGGACCTGGCGCAGTGCCTGCTTTACTTCTGCGGGGATGGAGCTCTCTGAGGTGTCTGTCTTAGGGGAGCAGAACAGCCACGCAGGTGTGATGGTGAGTGGCCAGCGACATGGGGCCTTCGGAAGGGTGACATTAGGGAGCAGATTGGATGTGCCACACTGGCCCAGCACACTGGTTGGTGTAAGAAGCCGCACCAAGCAAGGCACGGTGGTGCACACTTGTCATTTCAGCACTCTGGGAGGCTGAGGCAGGAGGATCACAAGCATGGTCCTGGCTTGGATGACTTAGCAACTTAGTGAGACCCTGTCTCAAAAAAATTAAATCTAATCAAAAAGGGTGGGCATGTAGCTCACTTCAAAGGCCTTGGCTTCAGTCCCCATTGCTAGAAAAGAAAAGGAAGGTGGACCAATCCCAGAAGTGTAATCCTTGTACGTTATTTTCCTGGGGTGGTCTTGACAGAGTGCCACAAAATGGGTCACCCAGGACAGACAAATGTACTCTTACGGTGCAGAGGCCGGAGCCTGAACTTCGCCTCTTTTTAGCGGTCCCGGACGTCCCTTGCATGGACCTGTGTCAGTTCGCTCTCTGCCTTGGTCCCCACGTGGCTTCCTCCGTGCGCCTCTGTGTCCTCACATGGTGGCCTTCTGGGAGATCACAAGGCAGATCGGAGCAGGTGCTGTGGCCTTACGTTCGCATAACCACCTGCAGCGCCCCTGCTTCCGGGGAGGTCACAGCCTGCTGCGCAGGGGCCGGGACTTCCTCAAGTCTTCAGTCTGCAGCACCTCACTTTATACAGCCTGTGTTTGTGGGGCAAATAGAACGCCCCGGGCGCGGGGGTGGCTGCAAGTGCACGCTGGGGTTGGTGTTGCTCAGCGCAGTAGGAGGGCTGGTTTTCTGCTGTGTCCTGGATACTCAGGTGCGTGGTTTCTTACGCCATCTAATCCGATCCTCACAGCCACCCAGGGAGGTTGGTGTTAATTTTCCCATTTCCCAGTTGGAAGGAAATTCTGCAGGTGTAAAATGCAGGAACAGCTGAAGGAGAGACGGCAGATTGCCAGGGCTGCGGCCCAGGTGTTTCCCTCCAGGCCGGGCTGACCAGGGAGTAGGGGCCAAGTGAGAGGAGCCTGCTTATGACCAGCGTACATCTTTCCCCTGGAAACAAGTGACCCGGCTTTCCGAGACCTGGGAAATAAAAAGAGAGCTGGCTTTTGGATGCGTTCCCCAGCTGTGACTGGAGAACTCCTTTGTACCCCAGTCTCCCCTTCACGTTACTCTGGAAGCTCCTATCCCGTAGCTGTGGTGACCCAGCTGAGTGCTTATTGCTGTGCCATCTGTTGAGTAGGTGGGCCATAAATTTGTCTGCCCCCCTTAGCTCGTGGCTATGTTTGCTACCAGCATCCTGGGGTCATGAATAATGCCGCACTGGCCAGTTCCATTTTACTCCCCCACTGCTGAATGTTCCATTCAGTGGCTATGCAATTACTTAGTTACCCTTTCCCCGTTGCTGGACTTTCTGCTTCTATAAATGTCACCAAAGCAAAGCCCCCCTTGTGCAGAGTGCTGCATCCACAGAGAATTGTTCCCACAAATGGATTCCCTGTGGTCCCAGTGTGGAGCCAGTGAGGAGAGGCTTGGCTGGGGCCCCTGTGCCCCCTGCTGCTGCACAGAAGAGTTGCATCGTTTTGTGCCACTGCCTGAATTTAAGTACAGAGTCCCATTTTCTCCATGGGACAGGCATTAAAATCTAAGGGGTACATGGCTTGTCCCATTGACAAGCTATGCCTGGCATTATGCACCCCATAAATCTTTGGGGTGGGGTTTTCAGGAAACCTATTGTTTACGATTTTATCTTTTAAACGTATGCCGAAAGTGAATCCCTAATGCAAAGGCCCTGAATTTGAAATCCAGAGCATTAACACAATGCTCAGAATATTTCAGACTTTGGATTTTTGGGTTTCTGAGTTATGGGTAGTCAACTGATAAAATCTATACAAATCTGTACAAAGTCTTGGAAACTTGGAAATTTGAGACATTTTTGGTCCCAAGGCATTTCTGATGAGGGATATTTGACCCCTGCAACAAAAAGTTGTTTTCCCCCCTTTTCCAGGCTTCTTTTATTTTTTTTGTGTTTTTGGGGCAGGGTCTGCCTTTGTAGTTCAGGTTGGCCCCAAACTCACTATGTAGCCCAGGCTGGCCTTGAACTCGAGGTCGTCCTCCTGTCTCAGCCTCCCAAGTGCTGGGATTACAGGCGTGAGCCACCAAGCCCAGCATCCTGCCTTCTGAGTGTATTGAAGGGAAGGGAACTTACAGAGGGTTTGCACTCTTGTGGGTACTGCAGGTGAGTGTGGGGCTCCCTTTCCTGCCCTCCTACCCTGCTCACTGCATAGCATATCACAGGGGTCTGGGAGAGCCTCTGGCCGAATAGATGCCCTGCTGTCCTGGGGAAATGCATCTGCATGAACGGGAACGTCACTTTTAGGGAAAGAGTCCCACACCGTGAGAAGGCCAGTCTAGGAATCTGCCCTGAAACTTCATGAGGCAGCTCCGCTGTGTCCTGGGGCCACCAGCGCCTTCCCTTTACTCTTTCCCAAGATTCATGTGGCCCATTTTCCTCCCTTGTTCCTGCCAACGCCAGCATTGTGCTTCCCCCGCGTGGCTCCCTCACACAGCCTGAGCTGTGTGTGTGGGTGCCCCGCTCCTCCTCTGGCCGCTGCTGAGTGCCCCGGGGTTGGGCTGTTCCCAGCCGGATGCTGAGCTGGATAGTGCTGTGTCCTCCACCACCCATATCCATGTCCGTAGGACAGCCGAGCAGATGTGGTAGCCCAGTGATGGCGCCGTGAGGGTGGGGCCGTATTCACCTGTGCCCAGGAGTGAGGCTGGAGCCTAGCACCGTGGCTGCGACCCAGAACTCCAGTCCAGCTCCTGTGTTGAGTGCTGGGAGAAGCAGAGGGTGCCACAGAGGTCCTGCCTGCTCTGAGCTGGCCCAGGGCCTCAACCTGGACACAGTGGGCTCCGCTGTGGAAGCTGAGGAGGTGTGGCTCTTGGCCCTGCCTGTTCCCCGTCTCAGACTGTTGTCTGCCTGGGTATGGCAGATTTTCTAGGTGACAAGGCATGGAGACTTTTGCGGAGGTGGGAGACTAAGCAGGTCTAGGAGCCAGGCTGGCTGGACATGGCTCATGGTTCTACAGAGCCAAAAGTCCCTGAGGTCCGGAGGCTGATGGGCCCTGGCCTTGGTGTTTGGCTAGGATCGGAGTGGATGTCAGCCTTTAGGCTTATCCCAGAGCTCAGTAGTTGGAGGGTGGCTTGATTTCCAGGATTAACTCTTCTTCCCCCATTAGTTGATAGTTTTTCTTTGCCTGGTGTCAAAAACTCGGAGTCCTTTAAAGGAAGAAAGGAATACATGTAATTGAGGTGTCTAGGTGAGGCCAGATTCAGGAGTGGCTGGACTCAGGTGCTCACTGTTGCTCAGAGCCTGTCTCTCAGCTCTGCTCTCCTCCAGGCCGGCTTTTGTCGCTAGCAGATGCTTTCCAGATGGTGACCCAGGAGGGCTCTGGCTGTGTTGGTTTGTGTTGTACCTGCCTAGCAATCTGTCCAGTGAGAGGGGATCTCTTTGGGTCCAGAAGAAGGCCAGGCCTGCTGTTCCTTGGCTGGAGGGTACCTTGTAGGGAAGCAAGATGCCAAGGGCTCGTGGGCGCTGAACTGGAGAGCAGGGTGCAGCTCCACAGCTTTAGGAGGAAGAGGGCATCGTTGAAGTTGTGTCATGCCTGGGCCCTCAGCTGTGTTCCTTCATCAGGAATGGACTGTTGCTCTGTTTTGTGTGTGTGTGTGTGTGTGTGTGTGTGTGTGTGTGTGTGTGTGTGTGTGTGTGTGTGTGTGTGTGTGTGTGTGTGTGTGTGTGTGTGTGTGTGTGTGTGGTCCTGGGGCCTGGACCCAGGGCCTTGTCCGTGGTTAGCAGGCACTCTGCCACTGAGCTATGCTCTCAGCTATTTCTTATTTTGAAACACGGTGTTGATCAGTTGTCCAGGCCAGCCTCAAACCTGTGTCCTTCTGCCTCAGCCTCTCGAGTACCTAGGATTATAGGTACAGTGTAGGCCAATGTGCCCGGCTGACCGTCGTCTTTTAATGTGGCTGTGGCATCTGTCAAAATATAGACATTTTGCTCTTCTGTGTAAAAGCTGGCTACTTTTTCTAGTACTGCATACAAGGGCCTCGAATTCTGGTGTCAGGCCTAGCAGAGCTTGTCCACTAAACACAGAACTCTCCTGGGCAGAGGACTCTAGGACTTTGCTGTCACTCAGGAGTTGTAGTTTCCCCTGGACAGTGGCTTATTTCTGGCTGCATAGATGGTAGGCGAATCCCGGAGAAAAGATTGCCAGGGAGTAATCAGCATAGTGGGCAGACAGTGGTCAGCAGGATGCCTCCTGGAACCCAGGGGAAGGGTTCTCCCTGGGGCCTTGGGCTGGAGGCCAAAGACTCCCACCTGTTGCCATTGCTATGGCTGTCCCTGGGGCCTCACAGATGTCTGGGGACCCAGAGCCTGTGCCATGGTGTTGACAGCGGCTCTGGGAGCAAAGACCCTGGGGACAGGCTGGCAGGGAGGCTGTCCCCTGTGATGTACACACTCCGGGCTGGCCTGGAAACCGCCTCCCCTCCCTCCTGCCTCTGTGGTGCCACTGGCAACTGGGACCTGCTGCCTGGCTGTATCTTTCTGGCGTCCCCGTGCCCAGGCCTCTGCAGCCTGAGGATTCAAAGGACATCTCGGGGACCGAAGGGCAGGCGGGCTGGAGGACAGGAGAGGCTTTGGGGGAGGACTGCGTTTTTCCTGGGACTGCAGAGAGGCTTGGAGATGGGTATGGGTCCCGCGGCTGTCTGCTGAGCTGCCGCCCACCCCATGGAGTACGTCCTCTTCGTGCTCTACTTCTCCTTCTTCCTCTGCCTCTGCACCCTGGTGTGCCTCTACTTCTCCGGCTGCCAGGAGATGACCTACAGGCATGAAGGTAGGCGGCTGCGGGCTGGGCTGTGACGGTCGCCAGCTGGGCCCTGACGCTGCACACAGGCGCCCTGCGCACTGAGTGTTGGGGAGAGGTGGGGTTTGCCTTGCACAAACTGCATCTTAAATTCTGATTTGTTTGTAAAAAGAATTCAGCCAGCAAGACTTGGGTTGTAAGGAGAACGGAAATTGCTGGGGATGGAGCCCAGGGCCTTTGCACTGAGCTGCACCCCCAGCATATTTTTTTATCTCTTGTTTTGAAACAGTCTCACCAGGTTGCTAAGCCGCCCAGGCTGGCCTTAAACCTGGGAACCTCCTGCCTCATTTCCCTTTTAACTAGTAGGTGTGCTCAGAGCAGGCAGTTGATGGGGTCTTTGCTGGAAGGTATCACAGGAAGTGCCCATGGTTAGCATGGTTGAGACGCAGGAAGTTCTTCTTGCTGCTCTGCGTCTTCGCCAAGCCCGGTCTGTACCAGGAACCTGAGAAGCGGTGTCTTCTGGGCGGCAGTGTAGGTCCGGAAGGGCTGGAGAAGGCAGTGTGGAGTAGGTTGTGCTGTCTCTAGACAGTGCTGTGTTCACTTTCCGTAGCAAGACGCGTGCGTCTCGCTTTGTAATGCTGAAGCCCCACGCAGATGAGTTATGTCAGGCTCCCCTCTCGCCATCTTTAGGAGGAGGAACCTGTAGCGGAGACGCGGGCCCTGTCCATGTGGCACAGAAGCTGGGATTCAGTTCCCCTCTCACTGCCCAGAGGTCCCAGGGACTGTGTCATCGGATCCCCTCGGGAGCTGCTGGGCACAGGGCACTGCCCATGTTCGTGTTGGGTTCCTGGAGCTACTTCCGGCTGCCCTTGGTACAGCCCAGTCCTTTGGTCTTTGTCCCAGGGGGCAGCGTGCACCCTGCGGGTCCCCTGGGATCTGACTTGGGCTGTTGACAAGCGGCCCTCTGTCCTCCCTGAGCCCAGGGTGGAAGCCATAGTTCTCGCCGGGTGCTGGGCTTGGCAGGGGGGCACTTAACCAGCAGCCCCTGAGGTTTCGGGGCCCTCTGTGATGCTGGCTGTGGGTGGTCATACACAGCCTGGTGCCAGGGTGTCTGGATTGTTTGGAAGCCAGTGACCCGAAGATGCCTCCTGGGCCCCTTGGGTGGGGCAGGGTTCAGTGCCACCGAAGAAAACAGATGTCCCCAGAGGCCTGGCAATTAGCAGTGTTTACAAGTAAGCTGCTGAGGGAGGGAGGAATGCAGAGCACCTCTGAGGGCTGCATGCATCGGGTGCAGGCTGGAGGAGGAGGGGGGCGTGAGGGATGGGGTGTGGGGGTCCTGGGCTGAGGGGCAGGAGATGCTGCCACCACGGACACAGGTGGGAGTTGGGGGAGCAGGGCTGGGAGACCCCATGTGCAGGCATGGCTGACACACAGGTTTGGGGGTCGGGACAGGCAGGCGCCCTGCAGTTAGACCTGGAAGGCAGTGGACAGCAAGGGTGGGGAGGAGTCGGGACTACTTCCGGATGGCGTTGTTGATGGTGGCCTCAGAGCTGTCATCCCGTGACTGTGACTGCAGACAGCACTGGCTGCAGTACCAGGATGGGAGGAGCCCTCTGCATGGGGTACGCCCTGCCCGTCGTGGGTCCCTGGGGGTCTGTAGCAGCGGGTGAGAGGTGAGAGCCCCGATGGGCCTGGGATGGGGCTGTGTGGTCGTGTGACTCCCAGGCAACCCCCAGCATCTGGGCCGTGGAAGCCGCCCAGCCAGGGCTCTCTGAGTGAGTGAATGAAGGGATGAAACCTCACATCCAGGGATGTGTGGAGCGGTAAGTGCAGGGCAGGTAACCCGAAACCTGATATGCAGAGTGTGGGCCATTGAGCTGAGGCAGGAGGATCACCACAAGTTCAAGGCCAGCCTAGATAACATAGTGAGACCTGTTCTCAAAAATACAAAAAACAAACCAGAAGGTGGGAACCACCCGAGTTGAGTGGTTGGTGGGTATGTAAGGGTCCGTTACCCTGTTCCCTCCCGCTGTGTACAAGCCCCGAGTTTCCTGGAAGGGGATGTTAGGTGAAGTCTAACTGGGTGTAGGCCTGGTGAGGACATGTGCACTCTCCCCCGGGGGCCTTTCCCTGCCCCAGCAGCTGCCCCTGCTCACCCACACTGTCCCTGTGGAAGGGGCGTTCACACCAGGCTTGTGCCCTGCTTAGTGTCCCGGAGCATTGGGCCCTCCTGGGTGTGGGGCAGGCTCGGCCCCCTTTGTGCTCACAGGGTGATGGGTTCCTGCTGCCACTGCTAGGGAGGGAGCCCCCACTGGGCTGTGCCCCTCCCTCCCTCCGGGCACTCCCTGAGCCACCAGCTGCAAACAAGCTTGTGGCCCGGGTCCAACCGGAGCCCACCGCCCGAAGTGACAGTGACGCCCAGGGCCTCACGTCCTCAGTGTGTTCCTAACGTCCTGCCCACGGCCTCTTACAGAAGCATGTTGTGGAGACATTTTTTGGATTTGACGAGGAGTCCGTGGACTCGGAGACTTTGTCGGAGACGTCCTACAACACAGACAGGACCGACAGGACCCCGGCCACCCCCGAGGAGGACTTGGATGACGTAAGCAGGCAGCGGCACAGGCGGGACGCCTACCCGCGTCTCTTGCCAGGCTGCTTCCTTGGGAGCCCCACCCCAGGCTCGTTCCTCCCTGCACTGCCTGAGCTGCGGCCCATGGGAAGGTGGTGCCCAGGACACGGGTGGGCCTTCTGCAGTGGGCCTTTTTCCCGGCACTGAGTTCAGCAAGGGCAACGTCTGAGCCCCGGTGTGGTTGCCATCCGCAGCTGTTCTGTCCCCGCCCTCACACACGCACACGTGCACACCCACGCACACCACCCAGTGGAAGCAGCATCACTGCCTTTTGAGTACAAAGATGACGCATAGTTGCAGCAGAAAATCCAAACACTGCTGAGCAGAGAGGCAAGAAGAGCTGTCCGAAGCCCCATCACCCTGGGTCGCTGTGGCCCCCTCTCCCGACTGTGTGTGCCGCTAAGCTGCACACGTCATTCGTGCAGACCTTCCCCTTCCTGCCCACCCAGCCTGTCTCCCTGGCTACTGTCCCCTCCCTGGCTCTTCTGCCTCTCTCCCTGCGACCCCTTGTGGCTTTGAGCCCAGGCAGGGTGCTGGGAGAGGCAGAGGTGGCTGCATGAGCCAGCTGTCCTGTCACTGGGACGCAGTATCTGGCCTACCTGGCTCACAGTTTCTGGTGGTTCAGTCCACGGCCAGCTGGCTCTAAGGCAGGAACGTCATGGCAGGAGGGTGTGGAGGAGCAAGCTGCTTACATGGTGGCCAGGAGCAAAGCAGGGGAACAATGCTAAAAAGGAGGGGGCAGGGAGCAGATAATGTCACACCTCCACGACCACCCAGACACACACAGAAGTGCTTTGCTAACCCCTTCGGCAGCTCCCCAGCCAATCAAATTGACATTTAGGCTTAACAATGGTTGTGGCCTTGCCAGGAACAGTCAGATCTCAGAGCTATGCCCATTGGCTGAGAAGGTGGCCACTCTGGCCTCTCATGGAGGCCTGGATCATAACAGGGACACCGTGGTCCATTGAGCCTCCTGCCCAAGTGTCTGACCGGGCTTTTGGCCCCATGCTGAGTCCTGTTTGGCTGTCCTCTTTCGTGAATCTGAGCATGACCAGCCAGACATGGGCTTTTTGATTTGCTTTTCTTTCCAGCCAAAGATAGTCCACATGCTGCTTCTTTTAGCACCAAAGCATGTGACTCTGCATCTTCTCTTCCCGTGACCTTATGGGGACGGTACACGCATGAGCATCCTGCATGTCTCGGTGCCTGGTCTGGGCATTTATGTGGTTTCCAGTTCTGCGCAGCTGAAACGTTGCGCTGGTGCTCTAGTGAAATTTGTGTCTGCGTGCTGCTTAGGAGAAATCCCCAGAGCCAGACGTGGGGCTCAGGCGGCCCACAGCTTAATCACATGCTGGGGTTGGCCGGCTCTGTGGTCCCCTCCCCTTTCCCCTGCTTCTGCCTAACTCTGACTCCCAGGGGTCGGGGAGCTCCCTGGAAGGTGCCGGCGGTGAAGGTGTCTGGCGGTGGCAGCCCGCCGAGCTCCTGTAGGCAGTGGCTGTGACAGTTGTGACCTGTTGACTCTGGCAGCTGGAGCCGCGTTGCGTCGCACGCTGACTGATCTTCCTTCTCTGTTACATGAAGACCACAACCAGAGAAGAGGCCGACCTGAGGTTTTGCCAGCTGACCCGGGAGTACCAGGCCCTGCAGCGGGCCTACGCCCTGCTTCAGGAGCAGGTTGGGGGGACGCTGGACGCCGAGAGGGAGGCCCGGGTGAGTGCCTGGCCCTTGGGCTGAGGGGGCAGGAGGCCAGTGTTGTGTGTCCTTTGGGGGGTGTGGTCCTTTCCTGTCGCCTGCCTGTGGCACCCGGAGGGGTTCTGGGGTGATGGAGCACTCACAGTTCTCTGTTGTGACACTGTTCTGGAGCTGTCTTTGTCCTTGGTGGGACAGCAGGGCCCCGGCACCAGGAGTTGCCTGTCATGTCACCTGAGTGAGAGACGATGCTTTCAGGACCTCAGGCTAGGTCCAGGGCCACAGGCTCAGCAGACCCTGGGGCTACAGACTCCTTCCCTTGCAGGGCTGAGGATCCTAGACTTCCCTGAGGGTCAGTGATGGGACTCGGCCAGTTCCCCTTGGCCCCAGCTGCACGTCCCTGTGCTGGGCTGTACTCCGCCTTCCAGAGACTTCCTCCCCTGGCCTCTCTTCCACCTGGGAGTCACACAGATGGGGATCTGCTCACCCTTCTGAGAGCACAGGGGACACACAGAGCTCATGCTGGCCCGTGCTGTCCGGTGTCCCCTTTCATTCTCACAATGGCCCCGGAGGTGGGAGGAATCAGCCCATCTTCTGATGAGGAAACTGAGGCTGCACAGCCGGTCCCTGACAGGCTGGGAACCCCACAGGAGTGTTTGAGGGTCCAGTGCATCCCGCTGCTGTCTCTTGGTCCTCTCACAGGCGGAGTTGGGAGGAGCTGCAAGGGTAGTGGGGGTTGGTGGGGTGCTGGGGTGGTCACAGTCCTGTGGGAGGGAGCAGGGTGGTGGGGATGGGGCCTCTGGGGAGGGAAGCCTCCCTTTGCAGTGGCAGCTCAGCCTGCTGAGGTCAGGCTGGTGAGCGCTCGGCTTTGTCCCCTGCTCACTCAAGTTTAGTCCAGAGATGTCACAGAGAAATCAGATTCTCCTGCAAGATCAGATCATGCAGCAACCCCAGGCGTCCCGTCCCTCAGTTAGCATATGGCAGTGGCCCTGGGGTGGGACCCATGGCTCCTGTTTGCCTGTGCTCATGTGGCTTCCCAGGCTTCTGTGCCTTGCCCGGCCTTTGGGTTTTTAGCCCTTGCTGCAGCTGCCAAAGGACCCTACCAGGCAGCACAGCATGGAGGAAAGTGCTTGACAGCTTGGTGATCGCCGAATGAGCACATAGCTGGTGTTGGCACCCTGACCTTCTGGTTTCGGGCTTGCTCATCCCCTGAAAGCAGCTGGTGTCCTCTCTGGGCTTCTATTTCCTTGTCTGAAGGCAGTTAGAGCCGAAGCTCTCCCAACCCCTTGGTTCCTCACAGTTTATGTCAGAAGCGGGTAGATGACCTCAGTGCCGTGCTTAAGGCCAGATCTGAATCTGAGCTCCTAGACCCGGGCTGTCCCCAGGGTTCACCTGTGTATGCCCTAGTGACCTGCTCACTTCCGGTCCTTTCTGTTCCAGACTCGGGAGCAGCTGCAGGCTGATCTGCTGAGGTGTCAGGCCAAGATCGAAGACTTGGAGAAGTTGCTGGCTGAGAAGGGACAGGTGAGCAGGAATGGTCACATGCCCCGTGCATCTTTATGTTTCTGTCCCCATGGTGGCGTCCCCACTCTGTGGAGCTGAATGGGGTGTTCTGGGGATGGCAAAAGCGTGAGCAGAACCCAGGTGACCGTGTGGTACCAGGCATCTGAGAGCTAAAGTGTGTCATGAAGGTCTAATTGGGCTTTTTCTTCCTTTCGTTTGCCAAATGTGTAAGAATGAGATAATTTCCAAAGCAAAGTAGTAACCAGAACCTTTTCTGACTCAGCACTGGAGGAAAACTGTCCTTTTCCGGCTCCTGAGACTAACAGAATGATCCCAGAGGCCACACTTGTGAGTCACGTAGTGTCACAGGTGAATCCAGCCCTGTGCATCTCAGCGGAGTCCCCACGGAGTCTGGGCTCTGGGTTCAGTGGGACAGGGCCTGGAGAGGTGGCTCCTGGACCCAGCCCTGTCCCTGGCAGCGTGACATGGGGGGGTCACCTGCAGTGGAACCAGCCTGGAGGCTGTGTGGTGGCCCCGCTCTGTGTCACAATAGCTTGGTCATGGCAGCAGACAGCTGGGACATCTTGATGGCTTTGATTTATTTCCTGTGGGCACCTGGCCCAGGATGGGGTGTGGGAGTGGTGGTCTCTCCCAGAGGCAGTACGGTGGTGGTACAGGGAACACACCTGGAGTAGGTGACAGCTTTGCTGCTTTCTGTTGTGTGTGACCTTGGCCAAGTTACGTAACTGCAGCCTTCATTTTAAGATGGTGCCAGTCATAGTACTGAGTGCGTTGGAGAGTGGGCTGTGGGGAGACTTGAAAGTAGCCCCAGGGAGAGAACCAGGTGAGAGAGGAAGACTTTCCCAGACTCCCCCCAACTTTCCCCTGTACCGTTTCCCTCTTCTAGGCTAAGCTCAGTGTTTATAACTTGCCTGATGACAGGCTATGACTGACTCAGCCTTGGGATCAGGGTATTAGAGATCCTATGTGTGCAGGTCAGTTCTGCCTCCTGTGCCTGCAGAAGGAAGGGGCTAGTTTTGCCCCTGAGACTAGAAGGCCCAGAATGGCCTCTCCCTCCTGCTTGGTCATCAGTGCCAGCTGGTCATCTCCATGACGCAGCCTGGCCTCCTTGGCTGGTGGTCTGAGGGCAGGAAGCACAGGCGAGCCTCCCATGTGCAGGCTCTCGCTGGGCTTCCTCTCTATTGCATTTGCTGATGTACCGGCCAGGCCAGCTTGGGGTAGGGCTGCTGGGAGGGCTTCGGAGCCCCACTGCAGAAGGAAGACAGGTAGATGGATGCGGCCTGTGCTCAGGGGAAGTGGAGAGCAGCTGGGGCCTCCCTGGACCTTCCACGTCCTGGGATCAGACCCTAGGTTGGACTTTGCTCTTGGGGGACTGGTGTGGGCCGGCCTTGGGGGTGGGTGTGCCGAAGGAGCAGCAACTGTGTGCGTGACACCAGTCAGGCAGGAAGGCGTCCTGCACGCCCGCGTGTCCTGTGCCCTCTGTGCGGGTGCTGGGCCTTCTCACTGTGAGCGTGTCACTGGTACCTTTGCTCCCTCGGGGGTGAACACACTCAGTGCTTCCCTGCAGGATTCCACTTGGGTGGAGGAGAAGCAGTTGCTCATCAGGACGAACCAAGACCTGCTGGAGAAGGTTTGTCACCCTGTGGTGCCGCGGTGAGACTGCCCAGTGGGGCCCAGGGCCCAGGGCCTGGTGGCTTTCAGAGGCGCATTCCCCTCTCTCCTGAGACGATGCCCAGCCCTTCTTCTGTGCTTTTGGCTGGGCCTGCCAATGAGACTGGCCCCAGGGTGCCCTTTGGAAGTAGGGGGGCTGTCCTGTCACCAGCAGTGGACTTCAGGTTGCCTCTGTCATTGCTTTGGGGTTCCCAAGCTCCCTTATGTGGGGAGCCCCTGAGGCAGGCCCTCGAACCACCTTAGCCCAGGCTACCTCCGAACTGAGTCTCTTTCCTGAGCTCTGGTCACAGCCCTGCTGCCGGCCAGCTGTATGGCCATGGCTGCCTCTTGGCCTCGCTTTTATCTGGGCACTGGGGTGAGACCAGTCACTGTCCTGCGAGACAGCCCCGTGGGTCAGCAGAGCTTTAGTGCCCTTGACCTTGCTTGCTGAGCTCTGGGAGCCCATTTCTAAGTGTCCCCTGGGTTTGAGACCAGCGCAAGAGGGAGCACTTCTGTGTCCTCCTTCTGATCAGAGGGGCGTGGTGGTACAGGGGTTCAGGGGACACCCATCGTCCAGGCCTCTGAACGCTGTGTGGTGACCCCTCCCTGGGCTGTGGTCCTGGGCTGTGGTGCAGCTGTCACCTTCCCCGGGCGGAACCCAGGCTCGAAGCAGTCACACATCATGCAGCTGGGCAGCAGTGCTGGAGATCTGGCCTGTGCTCTCTGTGTCCTGAAGCTTTGCAGGGATCGACAGAGTCCTGAGCCACAGTCTCTGGGGCCTGCCCAGGTGGGCTGGTCTGGGTGTGGGTGGGAAGGACCCTAGACAGGCTTTGAGAGCAGAAGGCTGTGTGGAGGCAGGCAGGGGACTGGCAGGGCTCTGGGTCTTGTTCCCCCCCCCAGCCATTCATTCAGCAAATGTCCAAGCAGCCAGGCTTGGTGCTGAGGGGGTGAAGCTGGCTCAGCCCCTGTCCCTCTCCTTCCCAAGTGTCTGCCCGCCCTTACCGCACACCCTGCCTCTCTTACCCCTCCCCTGGCGGTCAGTGTCCCGGCTGGGGACCCAGGTGTGAGACAGCGGCTGTCAGCGCCTGCTGACACCCAGGTGTCTCTGCTCTAGATTTACAGGCTGGAAATGGAGGAGAACCAGCTGAAGAGCGAAATGCAAGACGCGAAGGATCAGAACGAGCTGTTAGAATTCAGAGTGCTAGAACTCGAAGTAAGAGACTCTCTCTGTTGTAAGCTCTCAAACGGAGCAGACATTCTCTTTGAGCCCAAGTTGAAATTCATGTAAAGCTCCCTGCCGTTTCCAAGCATGCGTGAAGGGACGTGTTATCGTTTCTCTCCTTTCTTTCTTCTTCTTTTTTTTAAATCTGTATGTTCAGAATATTTCACTGCCTTAATGTGTTCTGGGGAGGATGCTCGCCGAAGTCTGTGGACCTGTACCAGAGCTAATATATTTATTGCCTACGGCTTGTTTTGCACTTAATAAAATAATTTGTTTTTGCAATATTTTGCCTTTTTTATTTGTGTTTCATTTCCATAACTACTTCTTCCCTGCATGCGTAGTCTCTGGGTCTGCGTTCTGCAAACCCAGACAGAAGCACTGCGGTAGCAGTCGATAACACACCTTTTTCAGTACTTTGCATGTAGCCGTTCTCACCTCTCCGAGTCGAGAGCCTGACCCAGCCAGCCCTTGACCCTCTAATGTGTTTAGCGCCAGGTGCCCGTTTTCTATTTGCCAATGACACGCAAGGTAAGTAGAGGCAAGGGCGAAGGGTGTATTTGCACAGGCAGTTGAGACACCGAGTCACTGTGCTCAAACTTTCATCCAGTAGACGCAGGTCCGGGCACCGCAGCCATTTGGGGAAGAGAAACGAGCGTGTGAGGTTAAGGCTGGACTCCAATCCCGGGATGGGGTGGGACGGCTGAACTCCCGAGGTGCACCGGGGACGCGGAGAATGAATACTGTTGGTTTTCTTGCTCCCATCTGCAGCACTGCCTCGGGTGTGTCTCTGCATTGCCTGCGCTCATGGTACTTCCTCATCCCCTTTTGTTTCCGTTTAAAAGTCATCGGCATCCTCAGTGCCACTTAAGTTTGTGATGAGCTCCCCGAGCTCTCGCAGCGACGTGGCGCTGCTGCTCTCCGCTGACAGCTTGCATGTGTGACCCCTCCGTCTGAGTGAGCACCTCACAGTGTCTGTGGCTTTTCTGATTTTATTTTCTCTCTGGCTTGAGTTAAAACTTCTGTCTGCATTAGAACTCACTGCCCGTACCTTGTCCTGTTGCCAGGGACCGGGCTGGGAATCTCCCAGCACCAGGGGTACGGTGGGACTCACTGCTTACTTGACCCGAGTATTTCATTCACCATTCTGAAGCAGGAGGTCATGGGAGGTGGTTGTTAATACCTCTGCCACTGTGAGCAGAACTAACACAAGTCCCTGTTGGCACACACTGCGTGGTGCTAGAATTTTCTTTAAATGTGTCTGCTGGCCTTCAGAGCCATTGGAAACCAGATTTCTGACTTTGGTTTTTAGGTAATATGAGCTTCTTGGCTCATGTCTTCCACGAGAGTCCATTCAAACACAAATCACTGGTGCAAGGGCTCGAAGACTTTGACACCGAGGTTGGCTGGGCTGGGGCTTCCTGGAAATCGTGGCCCTGGCCGTTCCTCCTCTTTCTTCAGCTCTCTGGCCCCACCAGAGCAGTGAGCTGCCTTCTAAACTCATGCTCATCCTGATTTTTCCTGTGGTTGAATTATTGGAGCCCATTGGCCCATTGTACTAGCCTTGCCCAATGCAAGTTATTTTTATCATGCTGTAGCTTCTTAAAGCAACTTGATTTTGAGTATGATTTGAAAGAGCCTTCCTTGCCGGCACAGGGACTCCCACTGATGCTGAAGGTTTAAGCCGCTTTTGGGACCGGGGTTCTGTCCCGCCAGTGTGCTGTATCCTTGGGAGTAGTTCACTCCTCCTAGCCTTTCTGAGGCCTTGTCGCTTGGTGAATGATTTGTAAACGCCTCTTCCAGGAAAGTGCTCCCTTCCTGAGAGGTGATGGTACACGGAAAGGAGGGATAGAATCATCACTGGTTCTGTTTGTGTGGTTCAGAGGAAATTGTGCACAGAGCCAGCTGCTTATATGGAAAGGAAGTGAAGACAGGAGCTGGGCCTGGCCCGGCCGCTCCTACACCTTGGACTCCGTGTCCCTGAGCTTGTCTACAAAGGGAGAGCAGTGCTGCCTGCTTCCTTAGGTTGCATGAGGGCTAAGTGGATAACCGTGTGCCCGGACAGAGCGACGCACCGCACCTGTGGCTTTGGCCTCCCCATTGAAGCGTTGCGCCATTGCTCTTAGCAGATTGTGATCTCGGGACACCTGGGTTTTGGTCCTGTAGACGGCAGACTCCCGAGGCCCTGTTAACTCTTCTTCCTAGCTGAGTAGGTAAGAAGTAAACAGATATCCAAAGGGTCCCTCTCTGTGGATAGCCCCGAAGACGTCGTATTCCCTGGATATACGCTTTGTGATCCTTAAGTCTTTGCCAACTGGGATGTGCTGGTTTTTTGCTGATAACAGGGGAAACTGGCAAGTGGTAAATGGTCCAATCAAGTTCTGTCTTTAAACCGAATCTTTTCCCCAGGAGAGAGAGCGGAGGTCGCCAGCCTTTAACCTCCAAATCACCACCTTCCCCGAGAACAACAGCAGCGCCCTCCAGCTGTTCTGTCACCAGGAAGGAGTGAAGGTAGCGTGCGTGGGGGGCCTCGGCTGAGCTGATGGCAAGGCATCGCCAAGTGCCAGGCTCGGGGGTCCGGGGGATTGTGTCCCTGGGCCAGGGATAGCATTGGTAGCATTGGATGTCTGAGATGCCCACCGAAAGTCATGGTTGGTTTTTTAAAAGGCCACCAAATGCCCCTCTAGCCATATGGAAAGCAGCAGTACTTGGGGTGGGGCTAAATGCACTCCAGTCCGGCCTGCCTGGCTCTGGCCTGAGCCCCTCTGAACCCCAGTTTGGGGCTCTGAAATGCAAACAGAAGCCCCTATATATGGAGCCAGGGTGGCCACGCCTTTAGACAATGAACAGAGGCGAGTGTGCAGCCCAGCGCTTGTGGGCAGGAAGGGCTTTGCAGAAGGAGCCATGGTTGCTAGAAGGCCCAGGGTTTGCCCCCGCCTGGAGCCCTCCTAGGTCCTGCGGGGGGCACCTTCCTGCCAGGGTGCCCAGCTCCGCCCTGGGGGCACCACTGAGTATAGAGCTCCGCCCTCTGCAGGCGGGCCGAGACCTCTAGGAATTTCTGGGCATGGTCTTTCAGCTCACACAAAAATGAACGTTGTCGTTGGAAATCTTTTCCAGGATGTGAATATTTCTGAACTTATGAAGAAATTAGATATCCTTGGCGATAACGGGGTAACTATGAGCGATCGGTTTCTGGTTTCGTGTTCTTGTTTTGATCTGGGTGTATTCTGTGTGATTTTTTTGTTTGGTTTTTAAATTTCTCTCTAATTTAAGAGCTCCAGTAAGTACAACGTGAGGCTGTAATGGCCGTGCTCCTGAGTGGGTGGTCGGGTCTGCATTGGTCAAAAGTGGGGTTCCAAAGCGTCCTTAGAGCCCGTGAGTGACAAAGGGGACAACAAGCTGAAGAGCAAGTTCCCAGAGGAAAACGGGGTCACTCGAGATTGCCGAAGTCAGAAAGTGACTTTTTGTCTTCCTAAAATATTGGCTTGAATGAGGCTGTTCTGCAAAGTGCCCGTACATGGAGTGTCCCCAGACAGAGGGATAGGCGCCATCTCTCTGCCTTGAACCACTAGCCCCCCTTAGTGAGTGGGGTGGATTCTTGGGGTGCAGCTCAGAGAGGAGCCCGGTGCTGACTGCCTGTGGGCCGGGGATCCGGTGTAAAATGCCCTTGCCCGTTTTTTGTGTTTTAGAATTTGAGAAATGAAGAACAGGTTGCAATAATCCAAGCCGGAACTGTGCTTGCCCTGTGTGAAAAGGTAGAGCCCAGCGGCGGTTCTGTGAGCACGCCTGTCCCGCTCCCAGCACCACAGGAGAAACCGCACCGTGGTGTCGCGCTTGGCGGGGAGCATGCGAGGGTCTGTGTGCGTGTGCATGTGCTCAGGCATGCCTCGTCATGTGCTGGTGAGCGACGGCAGGGCTGCAGGCGGAAGCACACCTTGTCGGGGAGACAGTCCTGGCCTGTGGCGTACTTCCGTAGGTTTCCCGCGCCCGTTTTTCTGTGCTCAGTGGAAATCATACCCGAATGCCCCACCTTCTTATCCCGCTGTGGGCCGTCTAGAACGGCCCCCACAGCCGTCCCGCTGGCTGCAGTTGCACCGCAGGCAGGTGTCCGGGCGTTCCCACTCTCAGTTAAAGGATCACGCGCACACAGACATCTGCACACACACTCCCCTCTCATCAGACACCCCCTCCCCAGGAGAGGGTGTAGAAGTGGAATCACTGAGCCAGACGGTAAGAACATTCCCTCGGGCGCTGGTGTTGGCACACGGTTTCCAGGACAGCGGCTCCAGTTCCCTTCCTACCTGCAGCGTCATGGCGCCTTCGTGTTCCACACGTCTCCCCCTAGCAGAGCTCGGTCCATCTGATAGGCAGAAGACTCCAGATGCCACTGTTTCCGTTTTTATGGATTTGGGTGTCAGTGAATGTTTTGGAGCATGTTATGTGTTTTGTTCTCCTGTGTGGTTGTAATTGCTTTTCTTTTGAGGATTTTCCAGTGGGCTGGTCTGTCCGTCCATCCATCCATCACATTAGTATTTGCTGTAATTATTTTTCTTGCTGACTTCTCCGTGTCCTTTACATATTAAAGATGCTAACACTGACCTCTTCTGTAACAACCACGTACCTGTCTGTTTGTCTTGTACCCTGGTGCGGGATATTTTAGATGCACGTAATGGTCCTTTCTACACATCTCTTCCTTTCACAGCACATACACTGAACTTTTAAGATGCTGCTTTTGAAATGAGGAGGTCTGAATGATCTTGGTTGAGATTCCTACCAGAATCTAGCAAAGGGCATTTGTGGTCTCCTTGCCTGGCACTGTCCAGCCCCTCCCAGGAGAGCAAGGACGCTGATGTTGACAGAGGATGGCCACGCCTGGTCCAAGGTCACACGGTTGGGAAGAGCGAGCCCTCGTGGAGCAGAGCTCTCTCGGCTCCTGTTCTCTTCCCCTTGCTTCCTGCGGTGGACCAGGTCCCCGGTCCGGTGTTGGGCACTTTCGGGACGCGCGCTCGCTATCTGCAGAACCAGGCGGGGTTTCCCGGCCGGCTGAGCAGGGCTCCGTAGTGTCACAGGAAGTGCTGGTTGAGCATGCGTGGTTCAGGTTAGTCGCTGCACCCTGAGACTTAACTGAGAAAGCCTCCAGCTCGGCGAGAACCTGCCTCAGCGTCAGAGGCCTCTGCAGACTGGGTCCTTGGCCCTCTCCTCATCCCGGTTGTGGGTCCGCAGTTTAGTCACCCAGGCCCTGTGGTCACAGAACTCTGCATCCCCGGATCAATGCTTGTGGGTGGTGGAGAAGCGGAAGGCTGCCAGGACTCAGAGCGGCTGCTTGGCGGTAGGCCTGGGGTGGACAGTGTTGCGGTGCCGTCTCCCCAGCCTCTAGTATCTGGGGTCCAGGGCCGGAGCTGGGGTTCTCAGGGCTTCACTGGCCTCTGCTGCATGAGTCCTCACCTGGGCCCTCCCGTCTGGTGCTGTGTTCCATCACCCCACAACCGCTTTTGGCTGTCCCTGCATGCCCGGTGCCTCCCTCCTGCCCGCTTCACATTACCACTGTCTCCTGCTGGGGAAGGGGACCTGTCTGGCATCCAGCCACTGTCTGCTTTACCCTTGCCATCCGTGCCCACCTCCCAGCTTGTGCCCTGCCGCTTTCCTCAGCCCCCACGCTAGCTGGTGCCTGCCTGCCTCAGACTACCAGAGCCTCACTCACCAGCCAGCCTGGCACCACGCTTAGTGCCCCAAATGCCCAAGAGCAATGCCCTGACCTTCAGCTCTACGCAGAAAAGACCCAAGAGTGGGAGGAAGGGAGACCCCAGGCCCCAACTCTGGGGCTGGTGCAGAGGGGCCCAGCTCCCGTGTGGACACTGTCCTCTTGGGGTGGGTCCCGGGAGACCTGAGCCATGCTGCTAGTTGGTGAATAAAGCTGACATTAGCCTGTAGTGGGTGTGTATCCTCCACGCTCGAGAGAAGGCTCAAGAAGCAAAGGGGGGCATTGGGCAGGGTGGGCGCTGGATCAGCAGCACCCTGAGGATGCAGGAGGACAGTTGAGTGACAAACAGCTCACTTTGCCTGGGACAGAGGGGTCCTGGGATGTGGAAACTTGAGTGCTGAAGTAGGGACTTCTGAGGGAAAGCAGGGACAAGTTGGTCACCCTAGAACTGATGGGCACGGCAGAGGTGGTTGCAGAGGAAACGGGTCCCTGCAATGTCACTGGGCCAGCCCCTCTGCATCACACGCACCTCACATTTCGAGCAGTTCTGCAGTACAGTGCTGGCGTCTGAGCACACACACGCTGGCTTCAGTGCCCTGGCAGAGGTGCCAAGCCCATGCCCTAGTGATCAGCCTGGTCTGGAGTGTGCTGGGATGATCTTCCCACTGGCATCTTCCTCCTCCTCTTCTTCCTCCTCCTCATGCAGTGCCCTCCTCACCTTGGCACGAGGCTGGCAACCAGTGGAGAAGCTCAGCTCGAGACCGGAGAGGGCGTGTGGTCATGGCCAGGCCTACCACTTCCCATGAACAGTGAAAGGCTACAGAGAAGTAGGCCCAGGGTGTAGAAAGAGGGCATCTTACATAGCTGCCCTGTAGTAGTGGATGGAGTCAGAGGCAGAGGCCAGGGCCACAGTTGCACTTTCTGGTACTGGACCAGGCCTGGGCTGTCTCCAAAGCCGGAGGAGGCACCAGTGCCCAGCTGCGGTGGATCCAGGCCTGCCCTTAGGGAGCCCTGGGAGTGGGGTGCAGAGACCTGGCTTCATACCCACAAGTGCCCCAAGCCCCCATTCCCTGGGGTAGGCCCCTGTCTCCCCACTCAAGGGAGCTGAGTGGACCAGGGGCATCTGGTGTCTCCTGGGGGTGAGGGAGGCCCATGAGTCCCCGACGGGCTTTAACAGACCCCTGCCCTCCACAGCCCAGGACCTGGGCCGGCTTTCCATCCTCTGGCAGGAGGACCTGTCACACAACTCTCACCCTTATTTATATTTAATGGCCACCCCTGCACGAACGAACGGGCTCCACAGAAGCTGTTCTGAGAGTGGCTGGTAGGAGATTCAGACTGGAAACTTCTCCCATCTTCGTTTTCTTCCTTTTATGATTGTTTGCATTTGGGTATCAGAAAGAGACCCTGTTTTAAGGACCATACACCCTTGGCCCTGCTGCTGCTGCTGGCTTCAGGGCCTGTTGGCTTTGACATTGCTGGGGCCCCTCTGTGGCTGTGGCTTTGCCACTTCTCCCTCCCTGGCCAGCCACCCACCCCCAAACTCACCCCCCAGCACCATAAGTGTCCCTTGTGCCCCAGGTGTCAGTGAGGCACCCGCTGTGAGCCCGGCCCCAGGCTGGGCAGGGAGGGGCACCAGGAGTCAGATGAGGCCAGGGTGGGAAGCTGACCACAGTTTCTATCTGAGTGTGGTGACAAGACAGTCACATAGCAACTTGTGGCCCGGGAAGCAGGGTGGGCATCCTGGAGGAGGTGACGCTAACAGGGCTGGAAGGACAGGCCGATTCTGGCCAGGGCTGAGGCTGGATGGGGTTGTTCCTTCTGGGTAGCATCAATATCAAGTGCAAAGGCCCTGAGGAGAGGGAGGCAGGCTGTCTGAGGGGAGCTATCCATGAGCCGCAGCCTCCCTGGCAGATGAGGGTTTGGAGGGCACAGGGTGCTGGGAGGCAGGTGAGCGGCCTGAGAAACAGAAGAGGGGGGCTGATGGGAGCTCCCTCCTGGGGCCTTGCAAAGCTGGGAGTGTAGGGGGACTGTGGGTGCAGCTGGAGTGAGCAGAGGGTAGGCTGGAGTGGGAAGCTGAGGCAGGAGAGTTCAGGGCAGCTGTGAGGGGCTGAGGAGCTGCGATCAGAGGAGGAGCAAGAAGCAGGGAGCCCAGGGCTGCTGCAGGAGCGCAGGTTGGGTGAGGGGTACTCGGGCTTTAGCAAGGAGGGGCCAAGGCACTGGGACCCACCATCACCCGGGCAGCCATGCCTGTGACACCTGCGCCCCTTCTGTCCCTTATCAGTGGCCCCCTGCGAAGGCACTGCACGCACCTCCTGCACCTGCCCACACCTTCTGCCTCTTGCCTGCTATTCAGGTGCAGGACTGAAGTTCCCCGGGCATCCACTTTCTTGTCACCCCTCAAGCCATGGCACACCCTGCTGGAGGGGAGGTGGTGGCTGGGGTCCTGTGGCTGGGCTCGACGTCCCCACTCCCCACCGTGTGAGCTTGGACAGGGCAGTTGGTCATCGTCCAGGTGGGGAGGTCACCCATGTGACGCATTTGGTGACATTATCTACCCACATGCCGGTGTCAGCCGTACATCTCTCGAATACTTGCACATTCTGCCTTCCACAGGCCTGTCCCGCAGCACCATATCCACAAATGCCCCACACGAGTCACCCGCACACCGCCCGCCTCCTTCCACGCAGGCCTGACTGTGACACAGCCACACCACACACATGCCCAGGCCCCGGGCTCTCCCGACCTGGAGAAGCAGGACCTCTGTGCAGGCTGTGAAGCCCGGGCCCCAGGGAGCCGGCTCTCACCTTGCTGTGCCCTCTTGTCCCTGCTGTTTTCTAGTGGCTGAAGCAAATAGAGGGGACCGAGGCGGCCCTGACCCAGAAGATGCTGGACCTCGAGAAAGAAAAGGTAGAAGACTCACCCACCCCCGGGGCAGGTGGCAGGGAAAGTGGAGAATTCTCCCCTGTGAGGGTGCATTTTCATCTGTGTTTCTTTGGATGCTTTCCCAAATTCCGTTTGAGCCTCGTGGCTGTCCCAAGTAGGTAGCACTCCCTTGCGTTCTGTCCCACACAGGTATCCATGCAAGTCTGTTTTCAGACCCTCTGCTGTGTCCCCTGGGGTCCTGCGCTCACGTGGGCGCAGTCTGGGGACACCAGAGACCGAGTGACATGCAGGCCCTGGAGGCGATGGGATGGCTTGAATCTTTGCTGGCCACAACCGGGCCTGTGGATGGACAAGCTTCTCACCTGCGCCGCTCTGGGTCATGACTGAGACCCCATGGGGCTCGGCCTGGGACCCCTGATCAGTGTGGTGGCAGAGGGTCCCTTGCTGGGTGCTGTGGCGTGCGGGGAAGGTATTTCACCCAGCGGGGACATGCAGAGGTGGCTTTCCCAGTAGGTCTCAAATCCTCTAAAACTGGTGGCAGCTCTCTAAGTGTCCACGAGGTGAAGGAGGGAGGGGGTGCACAGAGCCTAGGAGCAAGTGTGGCGTGGAAAGAGCCCTGGGTAGGTGTCACAGGCCTGGGTTTCTGGTCCCACGCCTGCCACAAATGCACTGGGACATTGAGGACAAAGCCCTGGGCTTTCTGGCCCAGTTTCCTCCACTGCGGCCAGGCACACTGGAGGAGGGGAGGCCAGGCGAGGCTGGACCTCAGCCAGAGTCCCCATGATGGCCCAGGCAGCGTGGTCACGAGGCCCTGCCCGGGCTCCCTGCAGGAGCAGGCCAGGGAGAGCACCAAGCTCCTCACCGGTCCCAGCTCGGTGACGGCCCTTCTAGCAGGACGGCAGCTGGGCGCTGGAGACCTGTGCTGCCCTGGACGCTCGCTCTGGCCACGTCCCTGACTTGCGTCCCCCTCTTTCAGGACCTGTTCAGCAGGCAGAAAGGCTACCTGGAGGAGGAGCTGGACTACAGGAAGCAAGCGCTTGACCAGGCTTACCTGGTAGGACCGGAAGTGGGTGTGACAGTTTGGCTTTTCAGACTGACTGTTAGAGGGTGGTTTCCCCCAGGCTGTGACTATGTGTGGGTGCTTGCTGGGGTGCTGGGGGGATGATAGTGTTCCATCCCCACCTGTGCAGACAGACTGGCAGACAGCTGGTTTTCCAAACCAGCTGTGATTTCTCAAAATAGTCAAAGTTACCTTAATGCTTTCTCTAGCTGTGCTTGTGAAGTTCTAGTCATCATTTGAGATGAACAGGAAGGCGCTCTTTCTTATATGTTTGTTTGTACTTATTTACTTATACTTAAAATCCCAAAGTGAGTTTTCCTATAAACAGTGAAAAGAGACGGTCCGCTCAAGATACGGAGCTGCCACAGTTGGGATGAGACACTATCTGACCCAGAGAGATCAGGTGTAAAGTCCTGTGTAATACTGTGTTTGGGCCACAGAATTGGTCCTGGGCTTCCCGGTGCTTAAAGTCTGGGCTCCTATGTCCTCACACTCAAAACCACACGCTCTGCCATTGAGACCGTGTCCCATTGGGCTGGGTGAGTGGGGAGGTGATGTACATTTCCAAGATTTGTCCACCGTGGAGAGTTTAAAGTTCGGCGCCCCTCCCTGTACAAAGCAGCTGTGTCAGGCACGGTGGTCTTAGTTACTTTTCTTGTTGCTGAGACAAAACACCTGGCACCCGAAGTTAGCGGAGGGAGGGTTTATTTAGCTCCCGGTTTGTAGAGTTTCAGTCCATAGGCGGCTGGCTGTAAGGCAGGGCAGTGTGGCAGTGGGAGGTGGCAGAGGAGAGGCAGTTCTTGGTGGGCAGAAGATAGCAAAGCAAGTGGGGGAACCTTAGCACTTCTTTCTGCCCCTTTTATACTCCACCTCGGATACCGGGCTTGGGGCAGAGGTGAACCAGTCAGTGGATTGACTTGGTATCACACACCCTCGATCCTGGCATTGCACCGTGAATCAGTCTCACACTCTGGGTCCAGCCACCCCTGAAAAGTCCACCTACGACTGCATGAGGCTTTGGGTGCCTAGACACAGCCATAACAGCAGTCTTAGGCAGCGCGTTGCCCAGTTCCTTAGGCTCAGCCCCTGTCCCAAAGGACAGTCAAGGAGAGGAGCAGCGGCGCAGGGCAGGAAAGGGGCCCTGATCGGCGTGGGAGGCACAGGCTCAGGGTCGGCCCTCGAGGTGATGAAAGCTTTGCGCTTTGTAGAAAAGAGGATGGAGGCGAGGTTTGGGGTTTGCACAGGTCATTGTGCTCAAGTGGTCTGGCTGACCACTGTCGTGGGACTGGTTCTGGAGGTGGCTGTGGAGAAGTCCCGTGGCTCGGGGGACAGCCTGATCCCCACAGGAGGATTGGCTGCTCCTCCTGGGGATGGCTGCTTTTCCTGGAATCCCAGGTGCCTGCAGGTTTGGGACAGTGACTGGGACTTCTGGGCGCCCACTCAGCAGGTCTAAAGCAGGCAGTCGACTGTCCCTGCAGATCCCCAAAATGCCTTAGCTCCTCTTGGCTTGGTGTCACTTGTGTCAGGACTAAGCCCTGCTCAACTGACCCAGAGACTCAGATGACAGAAAACAGAGATAAAAAGCGAAGGCGGCATTGCCAAGCTGCTTTCTGCTTGTCACCCACGGCAGCCCCATCCTGGGGTCCCTGCTGTGGTGCAGGGTACGCACTTGCGGCCCAGCATGCTGGGCAGCCCCGTCTTCCTGTCCTCACCAGGAGTGGCGGGAGGGGACCCTCTGGAAGCTGGTGATACAGGCATCCCTGGGCACTGAGTGGAGGAGTGAGCTGGAAGGCACTTGCAGTGCCACCTGGGGCTCCTCTGCCACAGGGTGGATGCCAACCGTCATGTTTCCTTGGGACAAGGAGGGCAGGGGAAGGTGATGATGCCCGTGGTGACAGTCAGGGCCCATGGGCTGGGGCGGGCTCATAGAGCTGGCTGACGGGCTGTGTGGGGACAGAGAGTCCACTGGGACAATGATAGAACTGTATTCCAGTACCAGCAGCTCCCTTGGAAGAGGAGGAGGGTGCTGAGGGAGGCAGGAGAGGGACAATTCTCCCTGCTCCCTACATAATCCCCAAAACAGACATGAGGCACCTTGTCCCCTTGGCACTGCTAACAAAGGGGTCCTCTGTTCCCAAAGTGAGGAGAATGCACTGGGAGTCTAGAATCACATCAAAGCAGCTGAAGCTGGGTGTGGTGGCTCACACCTGTAATCCCAGCACTTGGGATGCTGAGGCAGGAGGATCTCTGTGAGTTTGAGTCCAGCCTCAGCTACATAGTGAGTTCAAGGCCAACCTGAGCTATATTGCAAGACCCTGTCTCAAAAATCAGTTGAGGGCTGGGGATTTGTCTCAGTGGTTCCGCTGCCTGCCTTGCAAGCACAAGGACTTGAGTTCAATCCCTAATACCAAAAAAAAAAAAAAAAAAGTTCATTTCTGACTTTCAAAAAAGCAGTGAACCCCAACATCCTTTGGCTCACACAGAAGCGTAGGTTATGGTTATTTCTCCTGCTTGCCCTTGTCTCCCGTGGAAGCAGGAAGTGTTTCCCAGTGATGTGTGCACAGGACAGCAGGCCCCCCACTGGCCCCCAGCCCTGCTGGCAGCTCTGCTCAGCCCTGTGTGCCCCCTCCGTGTCTCAGAGGCCTCCTGGCTCAGCTTCCTGAGGGTGCCTGTCCACCCCTTTGCATCCCGCACCTGTCTGTGTGATTTGGGCCTCGCAGAAAATCCAGGACCTGGAGGCCACGCTGTACAATGCGCTGCAGCAGGAGCCGGGGCTGCGGGCCAGTGAGGCGCTGAGCGCAGGCCAGCGCGAGGACCTGCAGGCGGCCGTGGAGAAGGTACGCAGGCAGATCCTGAGGCAGAGCCGAGAGTTCGACAGCCAGATCCTGCGTGAGCGCATGGAGCTGCTGCAGCAGGCCCAGCAGGTAGGGCTCTGGCACCACTCCACGGGGCACTGCCACCCCAGGGAGCAGGGGCTGTGTATTGGCAGACTCCTCTCCTCACCCGCTAAACACGCTGGCCAACCAAAGCCGGCACCTCGCCCTGGCTGCAGGGTGCAGAGCCCGTGTCGGCAGAACCGGCCAACTGGTGGGACCTGAGCCAGCCCGAGGGAGAGCCTGAGGGGCCTCCTGTAGTGCAGTAGCTCAGGGTACAGAGGTTGAAAATGCAGAGCCTGGGGCCACGCAGCCTGGCTGTGAACCCTGGCTCTGCACTCTGGCTGTGTGGCCTGGCACACATGTCCTAGCCCCTCTGGGCTTCCGCTGCCTGGTGGGGCTGGTAATGCTGCCTGTTTCCTAGGGGAGTTGTGCAGGGAGAGGCCAGGTGGGTCGGGGCAGTGCTGGGTATATCCGAGGCCCTGGACTGCACCCCACTTGCAGGACCTGCCACCAAGCACACTGAGGATGAAGGCGCTGACTCTGTGGCCAGCAAATCCAGCTCACAGAGGGACATCCGTGTGCCTGAATAAAATAAAAATAAAATCATAGCTTCCTGTCCACAGGCTCCGATCTCATGGAACGTGCTGGTCATGGTGACCTACGTGTAAGATGGCTGATGGGCCAGGAGCACACCCTAAAGACAGGCGCAGGGCAGTGCCACCCCTGGCTGTGACACTGGGAAAGTCCCTGGGTGGCACATGCTGAGAAACAAAGCCAGGACATGGGGTATTTAAGAAAAAAAGCACAGAATCAGCCACAGTGTTTGTCTGCCTCCTGGGCTGTGGGAGGGCTCAGGTGCCTTAAAGAAAAGTGCTCAGCCATGTGTGGTGCTGCGTGCCTGGAATCCTGGTACTCTGGGAGGCTGAGGCAGGAGGATGGAAATTCAAATCCAGCCTGGGCAACTCAGCAAGACCTTATCTTAAAACTAAAAAGGGTTGAGAACATAGCTCAGTGCACAGGCCCTGGTTCCAATCCCATTACTATTAAAAAAAAAAGGAAAAGAAGAAGAAGAAGAAGAAGAAATCATTGAAGTCACTTGAAATGCAGGCTTTGGAGGATTTTTTTTTTGTTTTTGTACTGGCGGTCAAACTCGGGACCTTGCACTTGTGAAGCAGGCAGCGGAACCACTGAGCTAAATCCCTGGCCCCAGACTTTAGAGGATTTGCTGAAGGCCTGGCACACGTGGCTCTGCGTACCTTCCCTTGGCCAGCTCCGTGTTAAGCTTCCTGGGGAAGTGGACGGGTAGTGGGGTTAGCCTTTCTTTTGCCTCAGGGCCATTTCCAGATTGGTGGAGAACCCCGCTGCAGGTAACTAGCCGGCACCCCCTGCACATGGACGCGAGCACTCAGCTCCATAGCCCCTGCGCATGACACAGGGCTGCATTGGGCTGCATCCCTGCCTCAGGCCAGGGACAGAGGAGCTGTGAAGATGCAGAGGCTCAGGCCGGGCCCCACCTCCCCAGCTCCCACCCATCCTCCCTGCCCCACCTTGCCCCTCCCCCTCCT